CATGTAACGGTTTTCATTTAAGTGGTATTTTTCGGCGGATTTTTATACCCTACAACACTATGTGTTGGGGGTATTATAAGTTTGATTGGGCCAAAAATTATGTAACACCTCGAAATATTGGTTTCCCACATAGGAAAGTATATATGGATCTTCCTATCTCGACGAGCTGAGTCGATCTAGCTATGTATGTCCGTTAATTTATAATCACTCTACAGGTCGCAATTATGGCCCGATCTTCACGAAATTTGGAATGTAGATGGGGTTAAGGTCAGAATAGAACCCTATTTCTTTTGGAGATGACCGCATAATATTTAGGGGTTGAAATGGACCAAAAATTGAAACATTTCCTGCTTTTGCAGTTGCTCTACAGGTCACAATTATAGACCAATCAAAGCGAAACTTAGCATGGGGCTAGAGCTTTGAGCTGGGCAGAAGCTTTCCAATTTTGATGGTCATCGGGTAATATTTAGTGGTTGAAATAGACCATAGCATTTGTGATAAAAAGGTAAACATTTCCATTAAACCGCGAATATTTTTAATGTCGGCGAAATCACAAATTGACGAATAGGTCAATTCTGACCGTTACGTAGGTGCCGATAATAAAAAGATCGGATATATATAGCGAAATATATACAATGTATATATACAAAGGAAAAGGGATGTTACCTAAAATGCTTATATCTCCAGAATGGCTGAAGCGATTTTGTCAAATTTTGTCAATTTAGAATGCTATTTTAACATAAAAGTATAAAATCTAAAAAAAATCCCATATAAAGATGCTAATAATGATGTTAATATAGATTTTGTAGTATTTTGTGACATTTTTTTATTTTTTATCGCGTCCGATTTTTTCAATTTGACTTATAATATTGAAGTGTATATTTTGTAATATTTTTGCACTTTACAACACAGGTTGGGGTTATTATTTATATACAGATTGCAGTTATCGTTCGATCCTCACGAAATTTTTCACAGAGGTAGGGTTAGGCTCAGAAAGCTAAGCCTATTGTTTTCAAAGATGTCCGCAATATATTTAGGGGTTGAAATAGACCAGGAACTCAAAATGTTCCTGATTTTGCAGCCGTTATAAAGGTCACAAATAGAAACCAAAGGACACGAAAACTCGCATGAAGTTAGAATTTAAGACAGCGGTTAGAATGGACCACTACTTTTGTGTGAAAAAATACCAACATTATTTACAGGCGATATCCGAAATACACAATAGGCGAAATTCTGCTTGCTTTTGGAGACGATCGCAAAATATTTAGGGGTTCAAATGAACCAGAAATAGAAAAAGAAATCCTGATTACACAATTGAAGCCAATCGACACGCCTGAGAATATAGTTAAGCACAGGTAAGACCATTGGATGACCATTGGATTATATTTAGCCGTGAAATGGACCACAAAAACTAACAGCACCACGGAGTGCATAAATATTGGGAAAATGTCCCTGATCTTGCAAAATGGATTTGGACATGAGGGGGTTTCTGACATATTGTAGTGTTGTAGGGTATCACATGTTCGGCTCCTCACGACTATAGCCTTTGCTTACTTTTTTTTAAATATTAAAGATCCTTCAAAAAGGAGGAACGTATTATAAGTTCGGATCGGACAAACCTCCCAAATGTATGCCCGGACAAACCTCCCATTTATATATTGGACAAACCTCCCATATATATGTTTATCAAGATTCCAAATTATAACAGTTGGCAACCAGAACTCACAACATGGTGGGCCGCCATAACAGCCGATGGTCGCTCTCCGCTCGTATTTATCCACCGTGGCATCAAAATAAATGCCGAATATTATCGCGAACATGGTATTAAAGCCTTGGGCACGCAAACATTTTGGCCGCAGACCTTGGACATTCCAACAGGACTCAGCACCATCGCACTCAGCACGCGCCACCCAAGAATGGTTACAAAATGAGATTGGACCATTGTGTCTGGATTATTTTGGAAAGCAAGGTTGGCACTTAAAAATACCAAAGTGTCTGTCACCTCAAGCAAACGTTTCGCCGGGAATGGACCAAAATACAGCAGAGCAACATTCGGGTAGCGTGTGACGGTTTCATTTTTTTATCTCGCTCTATATTTAAAAAGAACTTTAACTCAAGACATACTTAAACTTTAACTTACAAAATCATTGAAGTATCGGATATTTTTCGTATAACACAAGCAATTTTCATTTTAATCATTATAGATAATAAATTACCTCTTTTCATATGTATTTGTACATGTTTACAGAGCTGGTGTCGATTTAAAAGAAATAATTTAGTTTCATTGACTTGAAACCCAAAACGCAATGTGGTAAAACCCCAGCAATCAACAAAGATAACTAAGGTTCATTATACCAAAACAACATTGAACACATGTACACGTATGAACTTACAAACGAATAACCCCGACTGTTGCTCTAAAAGACAATGACTGTAATTTTATGATGCCTACAAGGTATAAATAATAGGATGTTTCGAAATCGAGATTTGGTATGATGATAGTGAAATGTCTAGAAATCTAGTGACAGAACTATTTTTCAATAGAGAAACTGTTAAAAACGCTTTCCACAGAAGATTAAAACTGAGATTTTGTATTTCATTCAATGTATTTTAGAAGTCATTTATATTTTTCTATTTTTGCGGTACAAAACATATGGAGTTTTTTAAAGTAAGAGACACCATACCAAAAAACAGGTAAAAAAGCAGTACCCTCCACTATTTGTAGCAAATCTGGAAATTTTCAAAAAAAAAAAAAAAAACATTTGCCAAAAATTCTCTTAAAATCTTAAAAATATCGAATATAGCCTTTATAACGGGATATAAACAATGACGATGATCTGCATACGCAAATTTTGTCATAAGCCATTACAATATTCAAATACGAAACTAAGAAAACAAGTAAAAAAGCGGTAATTTGGTACAAATTAAAAAAATTAAAAAAAAAAAATAAAATCCATTAAAAATTCTTTTAAAATCTTTAAAATATCTAATAAAGGAAGGTGCCGATATACGTTATTGTGGACCTATAAAGACAAATCTATGTCTGCGTGTAAAGTACTTACAAGGAACTCCTTGTGTGGATTTTCAGATAATTCCATTGGAAAAAGTAGCTAAAATCATCAAAATACCGAATATAGGGGAGTACCGTTATATGGGGGGCATATGATATTTTGGACCCATATAGACAATTCCGTTTCAGGGGTAAAGTGCTCACAAAGAACTCCGTGTGTGGATTTTTAGACAATACGATTGGAAAATGTGGCTCAAATGATCAAAATACCGAATATCGCGGGGTACCGTTATATGGGAGCTATAACGTATAGCGTTAACCTATATAGAGAATTCTCTGTCGGGGGGTAAAGTGCTCACAAAGAACCCCTTGTGTACAAAGAAACCCTTATGACCATTCCGTTGAAAAATATGGCTAAGAACATCAAAATACCGAATATCGGGTATTATAAAATACCGTTATATAAGGGCTATACGATATCGTGGACCTATATAGATAATTCTCTCTCAGGGGGTGAAGTACTCACAAGGAACTACTTGAGTGGAATTTCAGATAATTCCATTGAAAAATGTGGATAAAATCATCAAAATTCCAAATATCGGGGGTACCGTTACATGGGGGCTATACGATATTGTGGACCTATATAGATAATTCTCTCTCAGGGGGTGAAGTACTCACAAGGAACTACTTGTGTGGATTTTCAGACAATTCCGTTGAAAAATGTGGCTAACATCATCAAAATACCGAATATCGGGGGTACCGTACCCATCTTCGAACTTTTCCTGCCTGCAGACAAGAGACTGATCTGTGCAAAATGTTAGCTTTCTATCTTTATTTGTTTTGACTCTAGGGTGATTACAACAGACGGACAGATGGGCAGACGGACAGACGGACGGACAGGGCTAAATCGTCTTAGAATTTTACGCTGATCAAGAATATATATACTTTGTTGGGTCTAAAATGATTATTTCGATGAGTTACAAACGGAGTGACGAACTTAATATACCCTCCATACTTTTTTGGTGGAGGGTATAAAAACGTGAATAATGTAGTTAAAATCATAAAAATGCCGAATATAGGGAGGTACTGATATATGGGGATTGTACGAAGGCCTCCACCTACATAGACAATTTTCTGTCATAGACTGCAGTTTCCATTCCAAACCCTAAATACGAAATTTGAAACAACTCCGGTGAATGATGTCGCTAAAATTGTCAAAATACCGAATATTGGGATGTACCATTATATTGAGGCTATACGAAGACGTGGGCCTGCATAAACAATTTTTTGTCATAGACTACAGTATCCATTACGAATTCTAGGCACACAATTCGAAACAACTCCGCGAATAATGTCCCTAAAATCGCCAAATATCTAATATCGGGGGTACCGTTGTATGGGGGCTATACGATATCGTAGTCCCTTCCAGAGGGTAAAGTACTCAGAAAGAACCCCTTGTGTGGATTTTCAGACAATTCCATTGAAAAATGTAGCTAAAATCCTTAAAATAGCGAATATCGGGTGGTACCGTTGTATGGGGGCTATACGATATCGTGGACCGATATCCCATCTTCGAAATTGCCCTGCCTGCAGACAATAGACTGATCTGTGCAAAATTTTAGCCTTCTAACAGACGGACAGATGGGCAGACGGACGGACGGACAGGGCTAAATTGTCTTAGATTTTTATGCTAATCAGGAATATATACTTTGTTGGGTCTAAAATGATTATTTCGATGAGTTACAAACGGAATGACGAACTTAATATACCCCCCATACTATGTATGGTGAAGGGTATAAAAATGTGGATTTAAATCTTCATCATCACACATCAAATCATTTAATCAACAGCAACTATTTTTAAATCAGTATCCTAACATCATAAGCATGGTATAAAATGTAGTTTAATTTATTTAATTATCATCGTAAAATTTGCTTCTCAAATTTACCATTCATTATTTAAGCATTGGTAAACATTTTAAAATTCTCAGGACTCCCTTGCAAATTCTCTGAGTATAGCAATGACCATGCTCATTCCTTTGTTTGCCATAAAATTAGCATATGCCATTTCGGATAAACATACACAAAGTAAACGATGTGAATTTTCAGGAGCGTGGTTTGGGGTGAGTACATTCATTGTCCTTTTATGTAGCTATATTTGTATCTGTCTGTCTATAACCACAGATTATGGTTTCATAAATCAGTCGAATAAACCCAAAAATATTAGAACTCGTCCTTCTACTCTTCTCGTTACAATACAGAAGGATGTTTTCCTATTTTTAGATGTTTGATGACAGAACATTGGCATGAATGATTGACAGTGGAGAACAGTCTAGCGCTTAACAAAAAATGAAAAGGAACAGTGGGGGGCATTACAAAAATTTATTATGAAATTACTTTAATTATATTGTTAAATTATAAACGTCATTATATGAGTCAATAAAATCAATTTAAATTGCCACGCTTAGCCAAAATGTATATTCACCCACTGTGTCATATCTTTTAATTCCCACAACATTAATCTGACTATCGATGACAAATACAAAAAAGTGAACAAATCACAGAAATGAGAATAATGCTTCGATGTTCTCGGTATCAGTGATAGGTTGTCAATCATGGAAGTATTCAACGAAGACTTCTTTGTTCTACTGCCAGTGTGCATGACAGTTTGTGCACTTTTGACAAGATGACGAAACGTGAATGATATTTGATAACACATTAACGGTAAACTGTCTAAAATTAAACGGATTAAAACGGTCATTGATTTTGAGGTTAGTTCGTTAAAAGCTAATTGTTATGGATTGTTTAATTTAAACCCAACACAGAATGTCCACAGTTCAGTTCTAGATTTCAAATGCAGTGATTTTAAATAAATTTTGATATGAATTTGACATGAAAACCAATAAGTTTGATGTAGGTTGAATTAAATTAGTACTTACATATTTTATTTTTTTTTTTTATTAATTGTTTGTTATACCAAAAATTTTAGGCTTAATTTCATTAATGTTGTTTTCATTCTAAGTAGAGACCAATTGTAATGTTAACCAGGTGATAAGGCTGGGGATGCCATGGTTTCGCAAAGAGTCACCAATCCTCATCAGTTCCCTTCGTTTTTGTCTGAAGAAGTTCTCCTAAGTATCGTCTCCAAAAATGATAGATTTCTATTCTGACATATGACTCATAATTGCGGCCATCGGCTAACAGATACACATAATTAGATCGACTTGTGATATTGTTGGGAATAGGCCCAACCCTTTAGACAAAGGTAAACTGTTGATGAGGTCACATAACTAACACGATGGCACTCTTCTCCTTGAAAATTTACGAAGTGTGTCGCCAGATAAATTTGGGAATTTTTAATTAAATAAAATTTGACCAACAGAGTCAAATATCGACTTCAATAATTTATTGAAAATCCTTTTTTTAGCAGACAACAAACGTAAGTATCGCCAGAATACATGTAGTGTTTGTTGTAGCTTGGTAAATAATATTGTTGTTCATCTCTGAGCAACAATAAATTTTGGCTCAAAATCTACTCGGTAGAAATTGAACCACAAGTCCATACGACGGTATTGCAATTTGTACAGATATAACGATCGGTATGCAACATGGTGAGTCTGGGATCAATATTTTTGGCCCAATCAAACTTATAATAAACTAACAAGGTATAGCAAGTAAAACCAGTAAAGAGAGGTCAAAAGTCGAGCGGGGACGACTTCATGATACCTTACACCACTATGCACATTTAGTGGAGATACCCGTAACAAAAAAGTTTATATTGGGAATTTATGTGAAGTAGATCATATTAACTATGATCATTTTTAAATGCGTACTATATCTTCAGAGCACTTATAATTTGAATTCGAATGGAATGGAAATGATATTTGTCAGGTATATTCTACGTTGAATCGATTTTTACTAAATTTAAAGGAGGCTCTTGTGTCGATTTTCGATTTTCACCAAAATAATATTTGAGCTGATACTACACATATGTTGCAAAGTGAGAAGAAATCGAATGAAGGTACATATAGGACTTATATCAAAATCTGAACCGATTTATATAAAGTTTAGTGGATATATTTTTATGCTGTATTCAATAGCAGGCACCAAATATCGTTCTTTTGGAGTGCATTTTACGGATGTTGGGGCGTAACATTTATATGGGAGCTTTGCTTTATTTGAATCGACTTTCACCGGATTTAGAATACATACTTTAAGGTTGAATTCGGTCCCCAGTGCCAAAATTCACTCTATTTAGGCTGGTATTAACCATTTGGTACTCAATAAACGTGAAATCGTGTAATAATATATATGGGAGCTATAAACGTGAAATCGGGTAATAATATATATGGGAGCTATACATAAATCTGAACCGATTTCGATAAAATTTTGCGAAGGTATATCTAGTTTAAATCTGATATCTGGTATCAAGTATCATTGTTGTGGAGTACATGCCATGAATGTCAGGGATTTAAACACCAAACCGGATGAATCATACGTATGGGAGTTATATCTTATCCGATTTTTATCAAAATTTGCTTCTATGCTGAATTTGGTCCGATGTGCCGGAATCCATCCCATTTGAATGAATATTGCACATATGGCGCACAATAAAATCGAAATCGGACAATGATATCTATGGGAGTAATATCAAAATATTGACCAATTATCACTAATTTCATCTCTATCGGACAATAAATGTGACCTGTAGTTTGTTTACAAAAATATATGAGCAGACGGACGGACATGCATAAATCCACACAGAATCTGATTCTATGAAGATCATTAAAAGGAGCTATGGGTCTATTTCGTGTCCTTCTGTATGTTACAAACAAATGCCAATGACATAATACCCTGTACCACAGTGTTACGTGGGGTATAAAAACAGAGTTTAAGCAATCTACCAGTTGTAAAATAACTCATGTAAAACAAATGAGCCATTTCATATCCTACAATATTGCAATCCTACAATTTGAATTCGTCTATATAATTTGCAGTATCTCCGATATTTGGCTGTATTTGTAAACGAAATCAGCATCAATATAAAGTTCAGAAGTGCCCCTTTTATTAGCTCGTGCTTTCAGTAATTTTGATACTCTTTTACATTTCACAAGCTAAATATTACTCGACGACCATCCCAAAAGCTAGGATTCAGCGCTGTACTGAACTCTAACTTAATAAGAAAATTCCAAATCTAGACAATTTTAATGTTTTTGGTCCTTGTTAAAGCCAAAATAGTTTGCGGATCTCTTCCAAGATAATAGGCTACTATTCTGATCTTTACCCTTCCGCAATGCAAAATTTCTTGAATATCGGACAATAAGTGCGGCCTGATTATAATAACTACAACACATAGTCTTGCAAGGTAATAAAAGTAAAAAAGCAGTAAGTTTTGCAGGGCCGAACTTTGAATAATCTCCAACATTTGAAACGAATTTGACAATTTTCAAAAAATAATAAAATAAATAGAAAAGCCGTTAAAAATTCAGTTAAAAATACAGAATATTGTAGTTATATTTGGGTCTATACGAGGACGTAAACCTGCATAGACAACTTTTGTCATAAGCCATAACAATATTCAAATACGAAACTTGAAAAAAAAAACAAATCCGGTTAATAATGTCGCTAAAATCATCAAAATACCGAATATTGGGAGGTACCTTTATATGGATGCTATACGAATACGTGGGCCTTCATACACATTTTTCTTCATAGGCTGTAGTACCCATTACGAATTCGTAGTACGAAATTTGAAACAACCTTTGGGGGTACCGTTGTATGTGGGCTATGCGATATCATGGACCTATAAAAATATTTTTCTGTGCTTAAAAAAAACTTTTAGGTTTTTCGACAATTCCATTGAAAAAACCAGTAAAGAAAGTCTTAAAGTCGGGTTGACAGTTTTTATGGGAGAATTCAATCATACATGCTATGATTATAATTATAATTTAAAGTTCAAAGGACTAAATATGCCGAAGCATTTTTATCTTTTAAACTCGGAATTGTATTGCCCATTTGTTGCACAATTAATTTGAAATCGGATAAAAATATACATGGGAGCTATATCCAAATCTGAACCGATCTCGATAAAATTTGGCAAAGTTATTTCTGAGCTGTATTTGATATATTTCCCTGAATATCGTTGTTACGGAGTGCATATTACGGTTGTGGGTAACAAATATAACAAAGCGGATGAATAATATATATGGAAGCTATAGCTATATCTGAACCGATCTTCACCAAATTTGACATACTAGCTTCTAGACACAATTCAGTCGTAAGTGCCAAATTCCATCCCATTTGGACAAATATTAGACGTTTGGTGCACAATAAAAGGTAAATCGGACGAAGTTATATATGGGAGCTATATCCAAATCTGAACCGATCTCGATAAAATTTAGCAAATGTATTTCTGAGCTGTATTTGATATATTTTCCCAAATATTGTTGTTGCATAGTGCATATTACGGCGGCGGTGGACAAAAAGAACAAATCGGATGAACAATATATATGGGAGCTATAGCTATATCTAAACCGATTTCGATCAAATTTGGCATACATATTTTCAGGCCTAATTTGAGTGTATAAACAAATTTCCATACAATTCGGGCTGATATTACACGTTTGGTGCACAATAAAAGGTAAATCGGACGAAGATATATATGCGAGCTATATCTAAATTTTGACCGATTATCTCCAATTTCAATAGGGTTCGTTCTTGGGCCAAACAAAAGATCTTTGCAAAATTTCATCTGGATCGGGCAATAAATGCGACCTGTACTTTGTTTACAAAAATACATGGACGGACGGACAGACGGACGGACGGACATGCATAAATCGACTCAGAATGTGATTCTGTGCAGATCATCAAAAGGAACTATGGATCTATCTCGTTTCCTTCTGCCTGTTACAAACAAATGCACAAAGACATAATACCCTGACCTTGTGGTGTAGGGTATAAAAAAATAGATAAATGAATAAAATAAATAAATAAAAAATAAAAATCCGTTAAAAATTCTGTTAAAAATACAGAATATTGTCGTTATATTGGGGTACGAAGACGTGAGCCTGCATAGACAACTTTTGTCAAAAAAAACAGTAACCAGATACCGCTATATGGGGGCTATATGATATCGTGGAACGATAAAGCCAATCCCTAAACTTGACCTGCCTGCAGGCAATAGACGGATCTGTGCAAAATATTAGCTTTCTATCTTTATTCGTTTTTTAGGCTGAATGATCTTAACAATTTACACTGATCAAAAATATATATACTTTATTATTTCGATGGGTTACAAACGGAATGAACTTAATAATACTACGTATGGTGGAGGTTAGAAAAAATATTACGAAACTTACAATTCAATATTGTAAGACAAATTAGAAACATCGCATGCGGTACAAATATGGAAAAAAATAAAAATGTAACAAAATATTACAGAAAAGAATTCATATTTTTATTAGTATCTGTAATGTAGT